GTATCATAGCATTCTATATTTTACACTTTTGTGAAAATAATTATTGTATGTATAATACAAAATTTTTTACTGAATAATTTTCTACAGTTTTTTACAAACCAAATGCACTTTAAAGTTTTTACATTAATTAATTTAATAATAAATTGCAATATGATCGTATAATGGTCGAAAATAAGGTCTTTAATCAATTCTTTTAATTGAAAAATTTTAGAGAAATCGTTCAAATCAAAGCACAATTTAAATGTGTATAGAATTTTACTATCGTAGATAAAAGCTATCAATTAAATAATATTAATGAAAGTTAATCTAATTATTCAAAGTGTAAAAAGAGATCTCTTTAGATGTATAAAAACTATGATAAAAAGTTGTTTCTCCGTAAACCTCACACAATTGGCGATGAATGTTTGCTGGCGTAACATTTTTCGCATTCAAAAACCTAATCACTGATCTGACTTCACAGTCGGCGGGTCGTTCGATTGTCCTGAACATTTCGAAACGCTCTAACAGTAGGAAAAGACAAAATGGTGATCGCTCGTACCTCTCGTCTGGCTTCCTAATGAATGGAGGAAGTGATCGCGCATGCTCAAAATCACAACTGCAGCGCTGCAGCGGAAAAAAATTAAAACGGTACTTACTTTAAAAACACGCCTCGTATACGTAAGTAGCATAAATCATTACATTATCTCTTCCAAGTGTCTTACCATGTATATATTCCTTTTGTCATAATTCTACATATGTATATATTTCATAATTAATATTTTTTTTCATAATGCCATGCAAAGCCAACTGTATATCTCTTTGCGGACATTAACGACACTTTAAACGCGTATGAGCAATAATATTAAACAAACAATTAATATTATATCAGACAAGTCATCAATTCCAAGAGCAAAAGTCAAAATGATATCATTGTGACGTCAACATGACGGGAAAACATCAGAGTTTAATCATTGAAACCATGGGCGTATCCAGACTTTTGTCTAGGGGGGGGGGGGCAGAACAGGATTCACTCGTAGGTGAATTATGCAGCATAAATTAAACTACGTACTTATAAAAAAAAATTTTTTATTTATATAAAAATTAATTTTCTGGAGTCCTCGGCAAATCTATTAATTATATTATTCGTAATCTCAATGGGGATCTCATTGAGTCTAGGGGGGGGGCAGCTGCCCCCCCCTGCCCCCCTCTGGATACGCCCATGATTGAAACTGATAACTTCACAATGACTATACAGTGACTCGTCATAAAATCATTGTAAGTGTATAACGATATTTTGACTTTCAGGATTCTAATTCAATATTCATATTTTTGAAAATATAATTTTTGAGAGAGACTGCCTGGCACTAATTCATTGAAATTATCTTATATGTATACAGGGTGAGTCATTCCACATCCGACAAAAGTTTTAAGACGGTAGAACGGATCGAGATGAACAGAAAAGTTCTGTACCATTTTGCAAATTCTCCAATAGATAACGAGTAATTAATTATTAAAAATTGTCGTCTTAGCCCGGCCTACCGCCCAATTCGAGAGCGTGGCGAGATGTGACTGTCCGACGATCGATATTGCTTTGCACATGAAAAGTTGTTTTTCGCAATTGGCAATGGCTACGCATGAGCGGCGCGTAAAATATGTAAGTAAACTAATAAATCAGATGTAGATCATATAATCGGTTAATTTCGCTTTAATTAATCTTTTCTGATCGCAAACCTGTAGTCGGCTATTGCGATGCGAGTCTAGGCACGGTACGACGACGTAAGTTAGCGGGCAACGGCGCGCTGTCCCCCCCTCGCCGTATTTTTCTATGTTCATGTAACATACATACGTACATACATACACATATATTGCTAGAGACCCTGTAATCAGAGACTGACTATAAGAGAGTTCACCAAATTCCAGAGAGTTCACCAAGAATTTGACAAACTCTTTTATGGCCAGTCTCTGATTACAGATATAAAAGGCTCTATCAGAATGATCTTGTGATTGGCGATCCGCTGATTCTGCTTCCGCGTATTCCACTCCATAGCACGTCGCCCTAAGATCTCGGATTACTAAATCAGTACAATGGTCATTACCGTGTCTATTCTTATCGCCGTTTATTTCGGTACACGATCCTGCGTCAGGGATCAGCGTAACTTTATGCAAATCTAGTTGGCGGGCTACGTATTTGCAGAATGTTAATGGACCGATCAATTAGTATTTCGTGACTGAAGAAAAATAACGCGTTGCTCCTAGAACTGGTTTCACGATCTAGTTTGAAATCACTCTTAAAATATGCAAGATAAACAAATGTTTCAGACAAGAGATAAAAGAACTTTGTCAAGATCATGTAAGAGTCATTTTAAATTTCTTAAGTGGAACCTCCTATTGTTTATTGTACTATTTTATTCTACTAATTAATATGAACAACTTTCGTCTGAAACTTTTTTGTGATTTACCTAATACTTTTTGAGATATTAAAGAGAAAATTTATAACTTTTTCAATGTTTAGCTTATATCTCGATTTTCCTTGGGAAAATATTGACCACATTAGACAGTCGTGTTAGCAGTCAATGACATTCGTCAGCTCGTGTGCTCATGTTTCTTTCAAATATTATATACCGTCGTTCGCACTTTATCTGCCTAGCATCAAATTTATGCCAACGGTTCAGAACGAGAATAGCGAAGGAACGAGAAAGGTGGAGGACAGGAGGACAAGAGGTTCAAAATTGATCGAGATCTCAAGCAAGCCTGCATAGAACCTAAAACCTGTTTCTCGGGTGCACTGTTTGCAGTGCTCTTCCAGAAGAACTGTAAATCAACGGTAAAACTTTGATAAAAGTATACACAAGTGTTAAATATATAATAGTAATGTACACACGAGTGACATTATGTGGAAAAAGAGGGATAATAAGGAAATGGTGTGCTCGATCGTGCTCGATTAATCCGTATCATGTTGATAGCCTTGAACCCAAGGCTTTTGAGGACATTCCAGGACCAAAATCTTTGCCCTTCATTGGAACATTATACAAGTATCTGCCTTTTATCGGTAAGAAAATAATATGTATTATTTTATATACCGAAATCGATTAAAAAGATTTGTTTTATATTTGAAATTTATAAGTCATTGTCTCCGTTTCTTTCTTTCTATGGCGAGAGGGAGAAGGGGAAAGAGAGAGAGAGAGAGAGAGAGAGAGAGAGGGGAATAAAATCCGGTTCTGTATAAAGTTCTACTACTACGCACATTCCAAATACAATACTTGCCCATCTTTTTTTTTTAACGTCGACGAATTAATCTTGTCGAACATATGTCATCGTATAGGTGAATACAGTTTTGCGAAGCTACATTACAACGGCTTATTAAAAAGGAAACAATATGGACCTCTTGTGCGCGAGGAAATTATACCAGGTCAACATATGGTATGGGTATTCCGACCGGAAGACATCGCGGAAATTTTCAAAGCTGAAACGGGTCTGCATCCAAAAAGAAGGTCGCACTTGGCTCTCCTCAAGTATCGAAAAGACAGAAGCAACGTCTACAACACCGGGGGCCTTTTGCCCACGTAAGAGTCTTACAAAATTTCGCATCACCATACATCACAATATTTGTGAAAAAGAGGAGACAAGAGTAGACGAAGATTAATGGGAACTTTCGAATACCATTATTTATTAATTGTATTATTTATTCAGAAACGGCACCGAGTGGTGGAGATTGCGCCGGGAATTCCAAAAGGTCCTTAGCAAACCCCGCAATGTCGTCGATTACTTGGAGGACACCGACGCAGTTGTCCAGGAGTTCGTGCAGCTCTGCTCTCGCGAGAAAGCCGACGATTTCCTACCTTTGCTCTCGCACCTTTTCCTCGAGCGTAATATTCTTGCGTCCAGACAAATCGTTTCATTAACGATACCAGTTTTAGGGGAAAAAATTCATAATATTGATTAAAAAATATATTTTATCGTCTGCATAAATTTTCAGTGACTTGTCTCGTGGCTTTCGATGTAAAGATGCGAAGTCTGTCGGAAGAAGAAAAACATTCACATTCTCGAAGTTCAAGGCTGATTAAAGCAGCGTTTACGACGAACAGCGCAATTCTAAAATTAGATAACAGCCTAATGCTTTGGCGATTTTTCGAAACACCCTTATACCGGAAATTGCGCAAGGCGCAAAACTACATGGAGGAGTAAGTGCACAATTATGAATTATTCTTTAACGCTGACATAGACTATTGTCGTGACTTTGAATTACTGGACAAATATTTGATCATTCCAAGTAATACAAAATTTAACGTAAAGTTTATTAATAATCTGTATTAACATTGTTTAAACAAATGATTGGTATATAACAATCAATGGAATTTACCATCATCAGTTAAAAATTAACACTGATGCCTTAAACATTTAAATAGATTGTAAAGTAGGATATAATAAATTATTAACGCAAGAGAAAAAGTAGATTATTTAAATAAAGTAAGTAATTATTGTTCATATTTATCAGCTAATTTTTGAATCTCATTTTGATAACATTCAGAGGATTGATAAGAATTTTATAATACTTGAGAGAAATACATATATAGAATATACATTCAATATATACAGAGTATTTCATTTTAATCGCCACTCTGTATAGAATATATACTTTTTAAAAAAAAACTTACCATAAAATAATTGTCCGCTTGAATAAATCTTTTACGCGTAGATGCTTTGAATTTTATCTTTAAAATAAAATGAAACATTAGTTAATTAATAAAGAAGCTGTAACAATAATTAGTCAATTTATGTCAATTATCACTTTCCTTTTTTTTTAAATCATTTTTTCTACGCCGTAAAAATTCTCCGCATTACTTATGAAATCGTAAAATCATATAAATCTCTGTTTCTTGTCTTCTTTATGATTTACGTAATTCTCCGCCGTAATTTATAACTGTCATTTTGAAATATCTTTGATAGAGTGGCACTGCAAATGGTTTCTGAGAGACATCGAGATGCGTTGATATGTCGAAAACAATCTCTTCTCGGGGAATATTTAAAGAATGAGGCTTTAGACATTAAAGATATTGTGGGTATGGCGTGTGATATGTTGCTCGCTGGCATGGATACCGTAAGTTTTCAAGCATCAATTATACGTTTTATATAGAATTTGATTAATTAACATGAGATTCAATGTACTTATTGCAAGCGACGGAAACGCGTGGCGAGAGAAAAATATCATTTCTGTATTATTTTAGACGACATACAGTACGTCATTTGCCTTGTATCATCTCGCAAGAAATACAGATGTTCAAGAAAAGCTAAGATCGGAAGCTGCGGCTTTGTTAACGGATCCTGTGTCTCCGATAACGCCGGAGATCCTAAGAAATGCTACGTACGTGAAGGCCGTAATAAAAGAAACTTTCAGACTGAATCCTATCTCCGTCGGAATAGGTCGTATCCTGCAAACTGACGTGGTCCTCAGCGGATATCGCGTTCCCAAAGGGGTAATGTATTTTTATAAATAAATAATTTACTTTTAAAGGTAGTAGTGTGAGAAACAGACTCTTTAGGAGAGAAATCTTATCGAAATGCTTCAGACTCTAGTTGTCACGCAAAATCAAGTGATTTGTCGACTTGCCGAGTATTTTGACGAGCCGACTTCATTTAAGCCAGAAAGATGGTTGCGCGATAGCAACGATAAAGTGAACAAGAGAGAAAAGGCTATCAATCCCTATATTGTGCTGCCTTTCGGCCATGGTCCGCGATCGTGTATCGCAAGACGATTCGCGGAGCAAAGTCTGCAAGTTGTCTTACTCCGGGTATGTGTCTTAAGAATTATTCACCACTCTTAAATAACATATTGTGATATGCAGTCGCACGATTGCGATGGTGTTTCTATGAATCTTTTCTAGATCTGCAGAAACTTGCGGTTCACATGGTGTGGAGAGCCTCTTGATTCCGTTTCGTCTCTAATCAACAAGCCTGACGCGCCAATTAAATTGAGATTCGAGAATATACATTCGTAAAAAAAAAAGCAAAAGTCATTGGGATCGCAAAAGTAGAAAACTCTCGAGAAGATTTGTATCAGAAAACATTTATTATATATTTTGCGTGAGGAATAAGTTGCTTCTTGACTTATTCAATAGATACGATAGCAAGATAGAAATAATCGTAAGGTTTATGTGTCGGGCTGACAATAACTTATCAAACACGGAAATTAAACGAATTGCGCTCTAATTGTAGGTCATGTATTTCGGCGTTGCGGAGAACTTGGCGTACGACTTGATGACCTTGTTAACTGCCTCGAGGAAATCTTTTTCCGTGGCAACCTTGCGCCGTGCACGGATCGCGAACATACCAGCCTCGGTACAGACCGATCGTATTTCAGCGCCTGTGCTGTTGGGGCACAAACGAGCGAGCAATTCAAATCTGATGTCCCTCTCGACGCTCATCGAGCGCGCGTGAATCTTGAAAATGTGCGTGCGTCCCTCGAGATCCGGCAGTCCAAATTCTATCTTTCTGTCCAGACGACCTGGTCGCATCAGTGCGGGATCCAGCGTATCCGGTCTATTAGTTGCCATTAGAACCTTTATATTGCCTCGCGGATCAAATCTAAAAAAAAAAAGATCATTGGTCAAGTCGTGAAATAATTCAACAACAGGGTAGACCGTTTAACGAGCAACTTACCCGTCTAATTGATTTATTAACTCCAGCATGGTACGTTGAACTTCGTTATCGCCGCCGGCACCGTCGTCAAAACGAGCGCCACCGATGGCGTCAATTTCGTCGAAGAAGATCAAACAAGCCTTTTTACTTCGCGCCATCTCAAACAGTTCTCTTACCATTCTAGCACCCTGCGACAGAAGAAATTGTACACGTTTAACGCGTATAATAAACATTACTCTACAATCGCCACTTTACGCAGCATTCGACGTACCTCACCGACATATTTCTGGACTAATTCTGAACCAATGACACGAATGAAGCAGGCATCTGTCCTGTTAGCCACCGCCCTAGCGCACAAGGTCTTTCCTGTACCTGGAGGCCCAAACAACAGAACGCCTTTCGGTGGCTCAATACCCAGGTTGACAAACTTCTCCGGCTGCAATTCATTCTCGTAAACATTTTTTTCCACACTTCCTTAACAAATCATTATAACAGTTGTAAACTAACGTGTAACAGCGGCGTTTCGACCACTTCTCTTAACTTCTCGATTTGCTCCTTGCAGCCACCAACGTCGCTGTAGGTGACATCGGGCTTCTCTTCCACTTGCATCATCGTTACGGTAGGATCGATTTTGGACGGCAGCGGAATGTGAATTTGATACTTGTTGCGATCCACACCCACCCTCATACCTTCCTCTATGTCCGTCGGCGCTACGGAGTCTGCCAAGTCAACTACGAACTTGGCGAATTGCTTCACGTTTATTATGTACTTCGGATCCTCGGAATCCGCGTTTATGATCTTGGTGCAGCGCGCCACTTGCAGGGGTTGCTCATTCTGCAGAGTCTGCTTGTCAGCCGCCAGGTCCCAGAGTGCCGGTGGCGCCAGACCAGTGTCGGACTCCTTGATCCCAGTCAACTCGTTCACGCGCTTGATAATCGTCTGGATGTCCTCCTCGACGACCTTGATACTCTTCGTGTACTGCCCCTGGCCCTAATTAAGACAGAAATTTTACGGGGATTCAAGACACGACAGATGATTCACATGACAGATGCGCGTTCGTCTCCGTGTCTCGATGGCAAATTTCTCTCCCAACGACAACCTAACGGTGGATTAACTCACGTAAGTCTTCAGCAAAGCGATGTCGCCTTCATCCAGCGCTGAAAATTCAAAAGACGAGCTCTTAGAAGACAAAGAATCACGATAAAGTGGGCAATGCGGGAGATGGCGAAACGGAGCTCACATTTTATCTCCTTCTCTTCCTTCTCCTCCTCGCTCTTCACCTTCCGCATATCATCTCCTAGATGATCCGGCATCCTCGCTCCTGTTAAATCGGTCCGTTTAATGGCACAACACGCTCCCGACGTTCGTTCCCCGCAACTTTAACAATCACTGACGTCCGGACTCTCAGGTTATGTTGCTCCAAATTACAAGCGAAATCTGTAGAGAACTCCCGCGGCGACATCTGTCGCGACGATCAAAACCTTTTGTAGCGGGCAAACGGTAAATCCTGAACACACCGACATGGAGACAATTGCTTGTATTTCCCTCCGCGTCTCGAAGGTGGCGCTCGGAGCACCTTGAGAAAACGGAAAAGAAAAGAGAAGAAACGCGCGGGTCCGCCATTTTCGCACGCGGTTAACGTGTCGCCTGGGTGGAAGATTCTTTTCAAATTTGTGCGTGTCAAATAATATTACGTAAAATACGCAGTTGCTCGGGTTGATTGCGTTGTAACTGGTTACACCTTCTGCAGCAGCTGGCTTCGAGAACAACCGAGGTGCGTACTCTCTGTAATTTTTGGAGTGAAATTTTCACTCGAATCATGGTGTCACCGGCCACTTCACTCTATTCGAGTGAAATATTTACTTTGATGGAGTGAATGCATTCACTCAATGACAAAAGGTGACAAATTCCGCTATTGTTTTTACAGTATAAAGTAGTCAGCGCTTCAAAATTCACCTTTAACTTAAAATACGATACTCCGCCACTAAATAGCCATCTGTTTTACCGACACATTCGAGTATACCCACACAGCACGGGGAACTCCCAGAGAGCTCCTGGGGAGCTCTTAAAATTTTTCATAAGCTCAACTTGAACTTCAAACGAACTCGCACAGAGCTCCTTGGGAGCTCCTATGTCCGCTTTTGAGAGCTCCTTAGGAGTTTTATTTAAGCTCCCTGCGAGCTTAAATAAAGCTCACAGGGAGCTCTCAAAAGCGGACATAGGAGCTTCCGGGGAGCTTCATTTAAGCTCGCAGGGAGCTTAAATAAGACTCCTAAGGAGCTCTCAAAAGCGGACATAGGAGCTCCCGAAGAGCTTCATTTAAGCTCGCAGGGAGTTGAGAAGTCATGTTTTAAAATGTACGACATACGACAGGTAAGCACGACGTGTCACCTTGGACACTTGGGGAAGATTGTAGCAAAATGCTGAAAAAAAGGTACACCTAATATGATATATAGTACAGAGTGCTACCCCGGTGAAATGCAAGACACCATATATATGGATAATCAATCACATTTTATGTAATATTAATGTTTTTCTCATCCGTATATTACATAATTCGATATGTAAAAAATACTGAATAATGTTACTAAATTTCAACGTAATTTTTATTCTATAAAAATCTTACAGGTACTTTAGCTCAGCGAAATAAACTCCCTGGAAGCTTATTTTATCGAATTTTGTAAGCTTCCCGGGAACTCAGCGAAATGAACTCCCTGGATGCTTGTTTTGTCGCATGGGTAGCTTTTGCACTGGTAAATCTTTTTATTAGCTTTTGTGCACAAAATAATGCTAGGATAACTTGCGGACCGCATAACAGGTCATTTTCATACTTAAAACACTCAGGTCAGAAGTCTAATGAAAAGGATATTGGTATTTGAAATTTTTAATTTTTTAATCGTGAGCGATTTGAAATTGGCTCTATAAAATTGCAAAATTCTTCCACACGATTATAGTACGCATAAAAACAAAGCGGGAGGGGGGGGGGGTTCACGACTTTATTGTCGATTTAGGGCCAGTTTCACAAACATCGGTTAGCTGCTAACCGAAGATTAATCGATTCTCTGTCTCTGTTTAAATAATAAGATGGAAAAAGATAGGACGTCGACTGAACCCTAGTTAACAGTTAACCGATGTTTGTGAAACTGACCCTTACACAGCGTACGCGCGACGATATTTATTGTCGTCGGATTGAAAAATCGAAATTGGGGGCGTCAACTGTTGCTGAATTGCATACCTGCTTATGTACATATATTATAGTCCGGGTGCTTCTTTATTTTCTCTTCTCTTTTCCTCTCTCTTTCTCATCCCCGCGTCTCGCGCGACGATCGGTCCTGATCGAGCCTTTCGAAGGAAGTGCAGAACCGCCCAAGTCACGCAGCATGCGCGCCGGGCGGACGGTCCTTGACCGGGATGATGCGTGGAAGAATGCGAAGTAACGAAAGAGAGGCCGAGATGTGCGTACAATACTTTCACCTGCACTCGTCCCACCCTGTTTCGCTTCGTTATGATTCATTTGAGGTGCATTCGCACACCTCGGCTGCGCGACTCGCAATATCTCACCTTCTTTCTCTTTCCCTTTTTCTTTCGCCTTTGCATATTCCTCGTTCCGCTAAAAATACATAACATTCTACATCGGCGCTCGGAAAACTAAATAAGAACTTACGAAGCGTTCGTTTTTAAAGTCCCTAAAAAGCTCCAACGGCACGAGGTCAGAAATTCAAGATGAAAAATAAGCTTCTTGATAACAAAGCGATTTATCGACGACGAATCCACGTATACGCTGCATAAACGCACCTTCGCGTAAGCGCACGCTGCGCACAGGCGTGGTGCACGCGAACTTCAGCCGTATGCGCTCTCTCATCCTCTCGCGTTGCATATTAGAGAGGTCAGGGTACCTGTAGCCTCGTTATCGCGAGCCTTTTACGCCGCGATTTGTTTTCGACCGACCCGGCTTTCGACGGGACTCTTTGCCGGCGCGCGAGAACAATTGACGAAACTGATCGATTTCATGGTTTGATTTACTGACAGAGTCGCATACAGTTTTTGCGTTTGTAAATCTTATTATTTATTATAATATACTATACAGGGTGTAAAACCACCGGATATCCCTTTAATCGTAAATTCTTTAGAAACTTTCAAGACAAAAATTCTAATACAAAAGTGTCGAGGCTATAATAGTTTTTAAATAACAAGCGATTACATTTCACAAATGACAGGCCTGAGATTTCGCGCGCTCAGGTACGGCGACACGACAAGTGATAAAGGTGTTCCTACGAATATCGCCCTTTTTAGCATAGTGACAACAGACTTAACGATTCATTCTCAAATTAATTGTTCCTCTTGTTATCTTTAACCATTTCTTTTGTTAACTTTGTGTAACGTCTTATTAATAAAAGGGAGGGGTTCACTATGATGAGCATCTTGATCAAACTGATATCCTTCGATCTAGTCGATCTCCGATATTCTGAGTGAACTTGGAATTTTCAGTTAGATTCAATCTAGTCTCCTGCCTCTCTTTATCCTCAAGTTTTCAATATAACCGGATCATCGTCTTCCCAAATATTTTCTGTCCCGTTAAACGGTGACTTTGCTTCTCGCTCGCTCGCGAAACACATAGGAACACTTTTATCACTCGTCGTGTCGCCGTGCCTGAGCGCGCGAAATCTCAGACCTGTCATTTGTGAAATATAATCGCTTATTATTTAAAAACTGTCATAGCCTCGACATTTTTTTATTAGAATTTTCCCTTAAATCGGTGGGTTAAAAACCATTTTTCATAAAATGCAAAATAAAGGCAACTCAATGCAATGCTTGTGAATACACGGAGAGAATTTTTTACACATTTCACTAGTAAAATGTACGGTAAAATTTCAAAAGACTTTCATAAAGTTCTGCAAAATGCCATGTTGTCCCACGATTACATGATTTTCAGGATAAATTTTAAGAGAAAATTCTCTCCCCGTGTGAATACATGATAAGCTGTTTGTGGTAAAAAAAAAAGTTATACGGTATATTATATATTGGAAAACCGAATTTTCATTTTCGTGTCGCGAGTTCGAATCTGAAGGAAGTGAGAAGAATATTAAAGTCCCAAGAAAGACGAGTATACGGCTGTGCGCGCGGCGTGAAAGGTTCAAATGTTTCAGCTGATTTCGCTGCGGATTTTTAAACAGCCGCTGGCGGAGTTGAACTTCACATGCCGCCTTCACTCGCGATCATAAAGGTAAATTTACGCTCCGCGCGCATCATTCCGGCCATAGAAGGTACAAGCTAATGATTTACCGACGGATTTTACGACGGGTTTGCCACCCACGCAGCGTTTAATCGCGTCTAATTACGATAAGCGTTATCGCGATCTCGCGGAGGGGCAGTCGAGGCACAATGACCTTTGGCGAGACACTTTCGCGTTCATTGATAAAACGCGAGCGTGCGTTTCTTTCTCGCGCGCGACGCCGTAACGTGTAATACAAATGCAACAAAGCGGTAGCGCCTCTTTGAAAAGTGTAATCGCACATCACAACTAATTACGTTTATTAGATCCCAAGTTTTGCGGCAAATTGTAGACGCGCGGGTACGAGCGAGCGCTCGTTCCTCGCGCGGGATGACGCAACGGCGCTATACACGCGGCGTTTTGCACGCCTGTAAAACTGGCATTTTCTCTAGCCGTCCGACGTGTGTGCCAGTTTCTGCGGCCCAGTTTTTCATTTTCCAGTTAACTGTTATTATTATCTAAGCAGAGACAGAGATTCGATTAACTTCTGGTTGACAATTAACGAGAAAATAAAAAAGCAGGCCTGTGGCAGGTCGGGCTGACGAAAAGCGACTCTTCGCGGCTGTCCGCTTTTTAAACTGGACCGCGCGTCCCGCGCGACTCCACTTGTTGCACCGCGACCGAAAATTTGCGCAATATGTCATCGCTAGCCGACGTGGGTGGAGAATGACATTAAAGCGTTCTTTCCCTCGCTGGGACCCACAGTCTCATTATTATTCCACGTCATCCGCCATTTTTCGTGGGAACGCCGTACTACGAACGGATGGATGCACGCGGCACGCCGTAAAAATCTCCCCAGAATGCGAAACATTCGCGGTGCACGACTCTTCCCACGAAGGGGAAGTCTGTAAATAACAATCGAGTACGCGATCCAGCGAGTAACTTGTTTCGGATTGCACGTGAAGCCCGTATCAGACTACGGATTGAGATTGAGATTAGATTGAAATTTGACCGAGATCAGAGTAAAGCTTACTAATCTCAAGTTTATGAATTGTACTCTGATTGGTCAAATTTCGATCTGATCTCAATCCCCACCCATAGTCTGACACGGGCTTAAAGCAGTCATAAACGTTCAACGGAGTTGAAAATGAAGAGTGCAATCGAGAAACGAATGAGACAGCATCCTTTTCAATGCCAACGCAGGAAGGGCGAGAAATAAAGTCGACCGATCAGCGTAAAACTTACTAATCTCAAGTTTATGAATTTTACCGATTGGTCAAATTTCAATCTAATCCCAATCTCAACCCGTAGTCTGATACGGGCTTAAAGCAGTCACAAACGTTCAACGGAGTTGAAAATGAAGAGTGCAATCGAGAAACGAATGAGACGACATCCTTTTCAATGCCAACGCAGGAAGGGCGAGAAATAAATTCGAGAATAAATAGAAACAATATATATGTATTGATTTATTGCGTAACGGCAGTTATATTTCTTATAGGGGGATCGATACTCTGTTTTGTTATCCACCATACTGTGTCCTATGTACACGTATCACTTCGCATTAGAGGCTGGGGAGGGAAAGAAAATGACTCAAAGCCGTCACATGCATCGGTATCTAGCCGAGCCTCCCTCCAGCGAACTCGCTGGACCGGCGCTGGTCGTGGAGGATCTTGCGGATCGTACGGTGAAAACTAGAATCTTCGGTACGGATTGGCGTTGTACGTCTGTCCGCCGAATCTCTGCTGGTAGGGTTGTTGCCGGTCGTACTGACCATCGTCATCCCCAGGCCCAGGCGGATTTGCCGCGAGCGCTCTTCTGATGGCCTCCGGGATGGGGGGCGGTGTGGGAATGTGGGCACCCTCGGCATGAAAACCGTTCTCGTCGGCCGTGTACTGAATGGTAATGGGGGTTCCGTCGGGTGCGTGGTAGGAAAAGCTGCCCTGGACCACCTATGTGAATCGATTAAGAGGTAGATGCGGTAATTTGGAATTTGAGAAAGTCTTTCTTGTCTTGAACCTTTATAATTGTTAAGTTCGCTGCAACGGTAGCAACTTTGGCCGGAGTTTTCTACGAGTTTTCCACTTGGGAAAGTCAGTTTCCTTAAGAAGGTAGATCCGATTACTGTATCAGTGAAATAATTCTTTAATCAAGCGGCAAAGAATGGAAAGAACAGCCAAATTTGTGCCGGCGGAACTGTAGCAAACGAATTACCTCAAGTAAATATTGAAAATAATAAGTGATAAATAATATAATAAATGTTGAAAATAATAATAGCAGAGCTGATTAACTACTAAGAAGAAACGAAGTGATGTTTGATTGAAATTATAGTGTGGAGAAATGACATTTGCATATTACATAATACACATACGTAATTAATTCCTATTAGAATATTAGATGATGTAACATTCGAATCACGTCTGTGATATACAAATCAACAGAAATTTAATGGAGATTTCTAAAAAATTCAGACATTCTCCGAAAACGAAGATTTTATATCAATTTTTATCACCATATAAATTTTTAGTAAGTTCCCTCTCATTTAAATGCAACACTGATATTAACGCTTTACACAGAATTAGTAACTAGCTAAAATATTATTAAAGCGTAATGGCAACGATTTTACAGTGTTAATTAAAGAAACAATTTATAAAATTTTATATATTTAAACTTAATGTTATATTTCATAAAAGTAACAAATCAAGTTTCTCCTCGTATATACTTTTCCGAACATAGTTGAGTCTGTCGAATTAGATCTTTCGTTAAATTAGACTGTGTTAAATATACACGAAATAATAAGGGATGATTGTTTTACCTCCGTTTGACCCTGAGGCCCAGATTGAGGGTATCCCCTTTCAGAGACTGAAATTCCGTTCTCGGTTTCATAACCGAAGGTGTAAGATCCGTCGGGTGATGTATCCTTGTGCTGGCTACGAATAGCTATGAACGGCTTTGATCCAGACCTACGACACGAAGTCGAAACCGTATCATTTCGCGCAGCTTTGAATTTAAACGGTTCCATTTACAACGCAAAAGCTGTATGCATTTCAGTCTTGCGTCTCTGTTTATTCCAATGCCAAACAGCAATTAGCTAAGAAAAATGGAAGCAGTAGCGAAAAGTAGTGTTAAAGACCGCGTTCACACAGTTATAAATTTGACCACTCGCGCAATGGTAAATTTGTTTCGGACTTGCCAATTCTTTTGCGACTAACGGGACATACATATTTTATCATAATCTAGTTTTCAAAGTACTTTTATGTATAAATTTAATTTTTGCCATTACATTAATTTGTAATTTCATAGCGAAGATCTATGTGTGAGTGTGTGCATCTGTTTATTATAGCCGATTACAATATATTTTAAACAATTAATTTTCTCACAAATAGATTTAATATCGCCAGTAGTTTAAAACCAATGACATGTAGTTTTTTTAAAACGACCTACACTGGCCAATATTTTTGTTAAATAAAAACATTGGCCAGTGTAGGCCGTTTTAGAAAACTACATGTCAATTAATTTTTTAACAAGGTTATCGTAAAAAGTTTCATTAGCAGGTTATCGTATACAGATTTCATACGTGTATTGCGTGTTGTATTGCGGCTGCGGCTGCGACGTGTATTGCGGTTGCGGTTGCGGTTGCGGTTGATAGGGCCTCGGCGTTGCTCTATATGCATTTTGGCCGGGGAAGCCGCGATACGATCCGAATTGTCCGAAAGCGCAGCCGAAGACTGCAAAGGCCAAGATCTGCAACCATACTGGTGCTTTTATCCGACGAGCCAACACACCGAAACATTTGAGAATATTTTTCTATATTCATCGATTTGAGAAAGAATACTTATTGATGTGAAAATATATTTTTCTTTCATTAATACGTTCGTGAAACTAAAGACTGAAGTGCACCAGGCGTGATTCTGATTTTCGAACATTATGCAATTACAAAAACTCGCGCATTCGCGACGTGTCTTTCTCGTACTGTTACTTGAGAATCTTTCGAAGAGTCACATTTTCCAACATTTGTCCAAGTCAGAAATCCATTATTTAGGGGTATATCAATTGAAATACTTGTCCCATCTACGGTCATCCCACGTGAATTACCACCAACTGCGGAATGTTTCGCTTTCGAGGTACGGTCCTTGTGCAACGCAATCGAAATCGCGATTTAGAGAAAAGATCGTTTCTTTTCGTCCACCGATACGTTCACCGATCATCGCGCGTCCACCGAGGAATGTATATATATAAAAAATAAGGGAATTATAGGAGAGATAGCACAAAAAGGGGCGAACGTGATCGAGTACGATCGATGTCCAGACGTTCGTTGGCGATTTCGACGAGGTAAATCACTCACTAGATACTGCATGACGACGACGATTGTCGGCGGTTCGTATTGTACGGCTTAGTCGATTTGAACGAGATCGAATCTGTGATCCCGTGGCGCGAGCACCGCCGTCATTTATATGAAGACGCCCAAGAGGATCTTCCCTTCCCATTCTCCCGATTTCTGCGTAGAATCGCTCGTTCGCTCGCTCGCTCGGGAGAGGAGAGGAGCATTCTCCTCCGTCGGGGATCCCTCGGTGTCGCCCTCGTATCCTCGCCCCACCTCGCAACCCCAAACGTGGATGCGCGGCATCCCAGCAGCCGGCTGCCTGCTCCTTACGTGATCGAACGGGTTGCCGACGTCGGTGCCGCCGCCGCGATCGTCCGCGCGAATTCAATTCACCAGCGAGCCAATTAATCGCTGGCACACATGCACGCGTGTATTCGCGAATGCCCACGCCAGCTACTGTGTTTCAGCTTAATAGAGTCATTCGTTAACGTATCGTTAACGTATCGCTGCGAGAGTCGGCGATGTGGGTGTCATTGTATGTAACGCGATGATATTGGGTGATGTAGCTCCGTACTTTGCGGTATTCTCGACGAAGGCGACTTCTCATTTGTCAACGGTCGTTCGAATAGCTTGTTAAAGGAGCAATATTTTTATCTCCGAATTTTTGAATCATTTTCTAGCACAACTTTTCCTTAATGGAAGTATTACTTCCCAATAAACACACGATGGTATATTAAACGTTTATTAAACGCAGCTGATATAAAAGTTAGTTCAATAGTGGTACAATTATACCACTTTGAGACGTTTACATTACTTTGCGTTAGACATTTATTGAAAAAGATTACATAAAAGTGACCGTCGAATTCATTAAATTAGTTACTAACCATGAGAAAATATCACACAAAGTCTATAAATAATGTACAGAGCTTTCGCCTTTGTAAATGTAAAAGGCGGGAGTAGCGTTTTCTCCCGATCGTATCGGCGACTCCCAATAAATTTAAATGTTATGCCGCTCATGACAGTCGGTATTGTGCGCATTTGCATTAAAGAAATGCGGGACACGGGCACTTTGTGTACGTGTGCAGATCCCACACGGCCGCGGACAACGCAGCCTCGACGAGCGTCAATTCGAGATTGCCGAACGGGCGCGACTGCAATCGGCAGCGATGATTTCATTTTTCTCGCATTTGTCACGATGGCTTTCGTCCCTTGCGGCGAAATCCCGCGAATAGGCGATCGCAACGTCGCATTGTCCTGCGATTACTTTCAAAACGATTAATAAGCGTATCCACCTGCCGATTCGCGCACGCGATGGTCCGCCATCGGTGTCTGCGTCTACATCCTCGCGTGTGGCAACGCAACCGCAAAATGGACAAATCAGAAACAATGCACCATAGGATACCCATTCATGCACCTGATTTCGTCACGTGTATTGGGAGCGTTACGTAATGACACGTTTACACACCGATATGCCCCGCGAGAAATCGACGCGCTTAGATTTTCCCTCGCAACCTTGGGAATTCACATCTCTTCTTTGCTGTATGTGTATAAATGTACACGTAAATTCTTCAACACCAGAAAAAAGAAACAATAGCATTTTGCGTGGACAATCGATCATTATAGATATTGTAATAACTAGAAGAATTAGTATCTAAAAGAAAGCATGCGTCAAAAATCAAACAACGTGTATGGACCGTTCTAGTCTTCTTGATTATACGTTAATCGGTAAACTATACCGTGCGCCGTGTGTACAGAAGACAATCTCCTTCGTTCTTTTTATTAATATCCATTTGCGGGCTCCTCTCCACCGCCATCTCGCAAGCCGTTTATCTCTCGCGCGAATATTCTATCTTTTCTGCATCCGTCGAAATCCCAGCGCTTAATCCGTCACGAGGTGTGATCACTCCCAGAACAGAGTAAACGCTTCCATCCGTGCATCGAGATCGCAATGTACGCGTGCATAATCGCACGCCAAGTCGTAATATCCCCTGGATAAGACCGCAATCCGCGGACTCGACTCGGTGCACACGCGATTCGCCAGCCGGCGGATCGATGCAGACGTAAATCAAATCGCCGTGCAAGAGCTGATGCGACGCATACGATGCGATATGGGCGCCGCGCGGCAGCGCACAATGTGCTGTGTCGACCGGTGCCCGTGGAAAGCGGCTATTCATCATTTTCCACAGACGATTATCGTTCGGCCAACCGGTTGAAAAGTGCATCGTTACCTACCGATTTGTCCTATCGTCTAAACGGGGGTAAATGTCAACTTATGTCATCGCCGAGACTTGTTGCAGTCGAGTTCTGCATTTACCGTATTCGATGCTCTATACGGGACATTAATTGATCTATATATTATGACAGAATCGAACTCTCGCGTATACAGAACTCGGTCCAAGTTCTAGTTTCGAGAAATGTGTAGCCAAGATTCCTTGGAGCAAGTTCTAGCATTGTGGACACGAGTCTTTAGGGCCTGAACATAATGGTTGTCTTGTACTTTTATAAGACAGCCATTCTGCCAGGCCCTTACGATTTGAGACACAAGATAGATATCGTGCGTTACTTCAGGGCAAAGACTTAAGTCATAAAACATTATCTTGAGAGTACGAAACCGCTATTCTGTTGAGGTCCTAACGCTTTGCTGCACGGTGTCTTATATATAAATATGATTAAGGCTCGTCGCTGTACGTCTTGATTGGCGCAATTAATTTTTGTGCAGACGTATGCATTTATTTTCCCGGTTGCATCCTCTCGGTAATCGCGCGCATCTCTCCTCATAAATAATGATACGCCAGCGTCAAATTAACTAGCTCACTTTGTCGCCGCACTCGCAAAGTGACGCGTGTGCAAAACCGGATAATTCTAGCGTTCGTTGACTTTTGCGCAATAAACGTAATATACGCTAGGCAGGAAAGGGACGGTGGAATCTAGGAATCCGAGATTATGTAGCCGGCGCAATTCTACCCGGTCCTTAGAGCCCGAGTGCCGGGAAGGATACTGAGCGTTGTGAGCGTTGCAAAGTAACACGCGCGCACAAGGTAAACTCTACTTCCCCCCCGAGTCTGACGAACGTTAGGTAAACTTGGCGCTCGCCAGGCGATTTCCCTGGCCGAGCGCCGTACGGTAATACGCCGGTAATACGCGCGAGTGCGCACATTGTAGTAAATAACACGTCGAAAGCTGCGAAATGCCGTCGAGTAAGTGGTATTCACAATTTTCATTAAGCGCTCACCGCTGGACGGGAGTAGCGTCTCTCCGGCTCTCTTTCGTCGTAAATACACCTGACTCTGCACACCCCGGAGTCGGCGAAATCATAAATTTGCGCGTTCCCGTCGCGCGCTCTCGCGCGCGGCGATTAATACCAACCGGGACGTCGCCAGCACTCTATCGCGTGTGCTGATTTATCGGGCGTTAAAGTCTCTCGTATCCGTCGTTTGTCACTGTTACGCAGCAGGAATCTTATTCCCTTTGGACGTTATCTCTACGTATCTATTCGATCTAACGCTTTAAGATAGCAGCTACGGATACCGCGAGTTTATTGCACGGTGCGTTGCGCCGTGAATTATCCTGTACCAAGAGTAAAACGACGTCGAAGGCGTAATGGATTGTCATTAATCGTACATAGGCCACTCGAGTTACGTCGTGATTATTTTGCTCCGACTGCACTGTTTCCCGCCCCTATTCCTAGATATACTGTATGTCTAAAGGCCTGCATCCACGATGCTGAAACTTGGTCCAAGTTCTAGTTCCGAGAAATGTGTAGTCAATCAACTTGTAGCTTTTATAGAACGGCTGCAGGTTGATTGGCATATACATTTCCCGAAACTAGAGCTTGGACCAAGTTCTAGCATCGTGGACACAGGCCTTAATACCTGCTCTCCAAGGTCATCTTTTTATAAGCTCGAATAAATTCACTGCACACTCAGAGTCCTCGTCAACAACCTCGAAATGACAAGGAACATTCTCTCATCTTCATTTCCTCGTCTGGGAAACATGTACTTCCAAGACAAGTATTGCTATCGTGTAAGGGAAAATGTATTTTAAAAAGACTGCAGCATTTTTGTTAAGTTATCAACTGGAAAATTAGCTGGTGAATTTTGTTCGCGGCCAAACTTAATAAATTAAGCATGCTTGGATGCGATAACAGCATAAACCGAAATTTCGAAATAAAACTGAATTTACTTCGTGCAAATCGTGCGGCAGTAGTCGACGACGAGTAGCGTATCGATGATCCATCTTGACCGCGGGGGCGGTGTAGCGGAGCAATTTCAGCAGCCGACGGAGGGATCGCGAGGCGCGGATCGGTTTGCACAATTCTCGGATAGGAGGACGCTCGCCTGGGAGGACCCCGAAGGTATGCGCCTTCTCGAACACGCGCGCGAGCGTCTTTGTGCCTCGCCGTATGATGACGAGGCATACCTAAGCCGACGTAGCTAATAAAACCAGAAAGGTCAGACGGGGGTTCAAGTGGGTCTCGTACACCCCGAGGCGAGCAGGCAGGCCTCGGATCTGGAGCCATCCTGGATGAGATTTGTGATCGACGGGGGAGAGATCCTCCTCTCATCGAGACTCGTTCGAGCCTCGATCCCGAGGCTATTCCACGCCCGCGAGTCCGCGGCAACGACCGAAATTCGCCGTTGCGGTGTCACACCTTCGATTTCGTTCTGATTCCGTCGAGCGATTCATTCGCACTTGTCGTAACACTTTACAATCCGTGTCTTCCGAGCGAGTCTAATTTACGGGATAGAAAAAGAGAGGGAAAGGGGAGAGAGAGAGAGAGACACAAGTTTGTTGCACTTAAAGGTCAGTTGATTGACGAGTACTTCCTCTCTCTCTTATTAGACTTTCTCCTTCGGGATTTCGTCAATTCTGTGCATTATTAATTACTAGAAATTCTGGAATTTCAAACCGTCGATTTTTATAGCATCAAAATTTCTTAATTCCTCAGGGACTTCTTACGTTTCTTCTTCACTTTTACTGCCAGAGTTTTGACACATCGTAATCGCGCAAGACACAAGTCCATCCGCGAATTTGTAACATTCTCTATGCGATGCACAGGATCTTTCGCTGTAAGCCTTGGTCTTCCCTCTATCGCGATCGTGTCTCATTGTGTTCAACACAATTAAACCTTCC